CGTCCTCCTGTGCGTGCGGGGGGCGGGGGTTCTCTCCCCCCCCCCCCCCAGGCAGCAGTCATGCCCTAGGGCTGGGACTTACGCTGCCACTCCCCCTCTTCCCCGCTGCAGCCTGCCAGCAATGCAGTGAAGAGAGCATCAGACAATCTGGTGAGGGCAGCACAGAAGGCAGCTGCCTTCCAGGACCACAATGAGACAGTGGTGGTAAAGGAGAAGATGGTTGGGGGAATTGCACAGGTGAGGAGTGGGGCCGCTCTCATGGAGCAGGGGCATCTCTGGCTGCCACCGCAGCCTGTGTGCGCCCATCTCAGTAGCATGTCCTACCACCCACCAGCATGGGGCATGTCTCTGGAGAGCCTCAAAAAAATGCTGTGGGTGCACCCATCCCACCCAGCGCCAATTAAACACCGTGGCTTCACCCTTGTCCTGCCATGTGTAGCAGCGGGCACAGCCAGTGACCGTGCACGCTCCCAGGAGCATAATACCCTGGCTTCTCCTTCATGTGGTGCCTGCGCCATCCCAGTGTCCAGGACACGCATGAAGGGCAGAGCATTGGGGAAGGGATAGGAGCTGCCTGGTATAGGCTGCCACAGTTCCCAGCGCTGCCTCCTGGCTATGGGCTTGCAGCTGAGACCCTCCACAGGGTGTGTGGGGCCGAGCCCCGGGAGCTCAGCTGAGCCCTGGGAGCTCTGCTGCTCCCCGTTATCTCCGGCGGACTGCAGTCCCACCGTAGGGACAGTAGTCCTCGTGCCTGGGGCCACACCAACCTAGGGAGGCTGTGGTTGTGATGGGGGGGAAGCAGCAGCCCGAGAGCCTAGCTCTGGGCTCGGCATTGCTACAGCGGAGGCTCTGGCCATCCCTGATGGAGGCAGCTGTGACCCTGGGGTGCTTGCCATGCTCTCCCAGCAGATCATCGCCGCCCAAGAGGAAATGCTGCACAAGGAGCGGGAGCTGGAGGAGGCATGGAAGAAGCTGGCCATGATCCAGCAACAGCAGTACAAGTTACTGCCCTTAGAGCTGCAGGACGAGGAGCAGAACTGAGCCCTGCGCTGCTCACCACACAGACTGCCGTCTGCCCCCCCACTCACTCCTATTTAAGATGACTCGCCTCAAGCGAAAGGGTGCCTGGGCTAGACCAGAGCTCTGCCTGCACCCAGAGCGCTGGGAACTAACCCAGCTGGTGCCACACCAGCAACTCTGCTTCACGGCCTAGCCCACCTTCCCATGCATGCCCAGGGTATGGCCAGGGCACCTGGAGGGGCCCGGCTGGGGTGGGAGCTGGGGCTGCACTGGCTTGTGCTTGTGCTCCTTCTCTCTCCTTTGCGTGGGAGAGGAGAGGCAGGCGGCTTGCCCTCTCCTGTGTGATAGGATGCAGGGAGCTCGTTGAGTTCTTGCGCAGAGCCGCCTTTCACCTCCAATGCCTTATTGCTGGCTGAATCTCCCTCCTCCTCCTCTTCCCTAGGAGGCACCAAGCCCTCCCCCCCACCTCCCATGAGCATCTTCTTCAGCCTGGGCCCCTCCTGGGAGTGACGGGGCTGGAACCTGCACTGCCTCTACTGGAGGTGGGGGAATGTGATGGGTTTGCCCCTGGAGCTGCTGTTTGCCTTCCCACTGGGCTTTATCCCCTCATGGCCCTAGCCAGCTCTGCCCTCTTCCTTCTTCCCAAGTGCCTGCATCATTTTCTGCAGTATTTTTGTAACTTTTTCATTTCTCTAGTATTGAGCCTGCAGCTTTCAACATTCATTTATTAAGCTTCCCCTATTAAACATTGGAGGAAACCAGCTTCCCCCTTGATGTCTCCTTGGAAAGACACGTTCATCAATAAAATCTGGTTTTCCTGCTTTCCGTATCAACAGGACCCCCTAGGAGCAAGAGGGGGGGCTGGTGGGCAGGGGGGCCCGTGGGGGAATGCTGTGTGGGTGCTTATACAGCATGGAAAATATTTGAGGCATGTCTAGCCCCAGGCGCCTGGCAGGCCAGACCCCTACTGCCAGCCATGTGCTGGCTCTCTCACGGG